TATCTTACGTGGCTGTGTGGGAGTCCTGGGGGATGTGAATGGTTAATGCTACGTGGTATCTTACGTGGCTGTGTGGGAGTCCTGGGGGATGTGAACCGTTAATGCTACGTGGTATCTTACGTGGCAGTGTGGGAGTCCTGGGGGGTGTAAACGGTTAATGCTACGTGGTATCTTACGTGGCTGTGTGGGAGTCCTGGGGGGTGTGAATGGTTAATGCTACTAACCAAATGGTTGGAGGTTCAAGGCCAACCAGTGGTGTCTTAGAAGAAAGACCTAGAGATCGACCTGCTTCCAAAAATTCCTCCACTGAGAAGTGTACGGAGTGCAGGTCTACTCTGACACATACACGGTTGCTGTGATTCATAATCTATTTGACGACAACCATTTCGTTTCATCTTTTTTTTTTTGGCTTGGTTGTGTGTCAGATACTGGGCTGACACCTCAGAACCCTACATCTTGGCCTTTGGGTCTTCAGTTAGAGGTCCTTCGCAGTTGTCACCCAGCTCAGAAAGCCTTCCCCACACTCTCATGGGAAGCAATGCCAATCTCCCTCCTTGGTTTGGGTAAGTCTGCCTTATCTTACAGCTACTTCTGTGTCTGCATTTTACCACCCAATTTCCTTGGGGGCAGCAGCATGTTTCATTTATCTCTGACTTCTCTTGGTGGTACCTTGCACGTGACTACTTCAGAATTCTTTCTGAGGGAGTCTGGGTTAGACATTTTAAAAAACAGCCTTAAAATGCCTCAGACTGCAAATTTTATGTAACATTGAAAACATCACAGAAAATAAAACCAAAGTATGCATGTTCTTAAACTAGAAAAGCAAAGCACTTCACACTTCAGGTTCTTGAGGAGCCTGAGCTGAGAAAAGATGCCACCAATTCTAAGGCCACCAGGTGGGCACTTTGTCACCTGTGCTGGAGGCACATTAAACTCTACAGCACTACAGCGCCCCCTAAGGGAACCCAAGCCACCTGAAAATGTTACCCATCCAAAGCCTTACAACACCCCTCAAAGCATTACAGTGTCTCCCTGAAGGACAACAGCTAGCCCAGAATGCAACCTATCCAAAGCATTATGGTGGTCAGTGGTATGTGCCATGGAGTCGGTTCCAACTCACAGCAACCTTGTACAGGGTTTCTGAGGCTGTAAATCTTTATAGGAGCAGAAAGTCTCATCTTTCTCTAGTGGAACGACTGGTAGTTTCAAACTGCTCACAGTGAGATTAGCAACCTGACTCATAACCACTATGCTACCAAAGCATTATATCATTGATGTTAAGTGCCACCGAGATGGTTCCAACCCATAGCGACCCTGTATAGGGTTTCCAAGGTGCCACTAGTGAGCTTGAACTGCCAACCTTGCAGTTCAAAGGGCTTTGCAGTATGGTGCATTAACCCATAGGGTCACACCAGGACTCTACCATTATAGCATTACCTAAAGGATCCACAGGACTCCTGGTATGGTGTTGCAAGATCAGCACTGGGCTGCGAACCACAAGGTTGGAGGTTCAAACCTATCAGCTACTCCTCCGAAACCCTATACCGGACCACTGTGAGTCAGAACAGACTTGAGGACAACGGCACATAACAACAACAAAGGATCCTCAGGCTATCAGAAAATGTTACCTATCCAGAGAAGTTGGTCTGGATAAAAGAAGTCATTTTGAGAGGGGAATAAAACCCCAACAAACTTAATTAACATCTAAATCAAATCTTAACAAGGTAATCACTACCTTTTGTCAGCTCCTATTTGAGAGGAAAAGAGAGCTGATCAAAGGTTACAAATCTGCTTAACAGATGCCCTTTGCCTATTCCAACACTGAGTACTCAGCTTAAACTCACTTCTTTGAAATGTGTTGCTGTTAGGTGTCACTGAGCTGGTTCCAAGTCATAGAGACTCTGCCTAGCGTTTTGGAACATAAGGGTTGGGTCTGAACCCCAACCTAGTGGTCAGTAGTCCAGTACTAATCCACACCATGTCTCTATGAAAGAGTAGCGCTTTAAATGAGGTGCAGCGCCCAAACTTGGAGATAGTACCCTTCTGACCTAGCTTCAATGGCTTGATGATCAGATCTCAACTAGAGGAAGATAAAAAAGTGATAAAGGAAATGAGTGTAAATTGCTATGATTTGATGAACTTGACCTATACTTATGGATGTGGTGGTGGTGGTGGTGGTGGTGATGTACCATGGAGTCAGTTCTGACTCATAGTGACCCTGAACAGGGTTTCTAAGGCTACAAATCTTTACAGGAGCAGAAAGCCTCATCTTTCTCCTGCGGAACAGCTGGTAGTTTCGAACTGCTGACTCTGAGGTTAGTAGCCCGATTCGTAACCACTACACTACCAGAGCTCCTTACTTATGGATTGTTGTTGTTGTAAGTTTTGTAAAAAATAATATTTTTTTTGGTGGTGGTTATGTGCCATGAAGTCAGTTCCGATTCACAGTGACCCTGCACAGGGTTTCCGAGGCTACAAATCTTTATGGGAGCAGAAAGCCTCATCTTTCTCCCACCAAACAGCTGGTAGTTTCGAACTACCAACCTTGAGGTTAGCAGCCCGATTCGTAACCACTTATGAATATTGTTGTTGTTGTTATGTGCCGTGGAGTCGGTTCCGACTCACAGTGACCCTGTACAGGGTTTCTGAGGCTGTAAATCTTTACGGGAGCAGAAAGCCTCATCTTTCTCCTGTAGAACAGCTGGTAGTTTCGAACTGCTGACCTGGCGGTTCACAGCCAGATTCATAAACACTACTCTACCAGAGCTCCTTACTTTTGGATGTAGTAGCTCAAAATACCAATTGAGAGGGAAGGAATCTTCACATCAAGGATCAACCCTATCCCTTCTGTACACAGGATTGATACGGACATACAGAAAGACAACTTAGACATTGGCTACATAAAATGAGGGGGGCAATAAAGGCACTAAATGAGTAGCTTACAAGTTTTCAAGAGGGAATTTAGTTTCAGAGTGTGCGGGGGAAGGTAGAACACCCATTGAATACTTTTCATCTTGTCTAGACGGGTCTAGTGAAAGGAGACGAGAATAAGATTCTTATGATTCAAAAGTGAGTACTTGTTATCATGACTAATTACAACTGTCACAATTGTAAAGGTAGAAGTTTGGAACAAAAAGGGAGGAGTAGTCAATCTTATAGTCCAGGAACAGAGGACCCTAGGATCATCAAGGGGGAAGAGCATAAGCGGAATGTAGGACCCTACCCAGAGAAGCAGCGACATCAGAGATGGAGGCAGAGTTGAGGACATGGGGAGAGAGAACAGCTGAGGACTCTAGACTCAAGGAAAGAGAAAGGCTGTGTGCTGGAAGCTAGGAGGCAGGCTTGCAGAATGTGCCCTTTAGTTGATTGTTTAAAAGATTATATAATTCCTAAGTATTTCTGTGTACATTAAAAAAAAACAAAAGGCAAATATTGTTGAATGCATGGAGGGGATTGTAATCATTGCAATGAAATGAGATACGACAGGATGAGCGTAAAACCGAGGTTTTTGCTTGTAAGCTATCACTCAATTCACAATAAAAACTTGAGGAAATGAAAAAGAGGTACAGCCCCCTCAGGGAAAATCCTCTTCTAGGACTGAAACTTAAGGGAACCCAAGTGTCCTGGTGTGGCACTGTGAGTTAATGCAATATCAAATGCAAAGCCGTTTGAACTGCAAGGTCGGCGGTTCAAGCTCACCAGCTTCTCCTTGGAAACCCTATACAGGGTCGTTGTGGGTTGGAATTGACTCAACAGCACTTAACAACAAGAAGAGCAGTCTAGTATGCTCACTGGTGACCGCCTGGGTCTACTTGGGAGTGGAAGTGGGGGGGAATGCAGCAATGAAGACCTGGGCTGAGTCTGGACATGTTCCACTGACAGCCACTGACCTTGAGATGAGAGTGAGAAGAGCAAGGGCTGGCTGGTCTGAAGTTTAGGAGGATGTGTGAACTCCTGAGTACATGGGCACTGACCTACCTGGAAGCTAAGGATGAGAGTGAAGCAGCCAGCTGGTCTTAAGTGCAGTGAGGTGTGTGTGAACTCCCAAACCTGCAGCTAGTACCCACTTAACTTACCTTGGATGGCTAGTTGATCCGAACTCGACCAGGTGACGATAAAGATGTCTGATACTGTGAACAAGTGTCCACTGCTACAATTTGATGCACTGGACTTTTATTTATGGATGCAGTTGTTCAAAATTCCAACCAGAATGGAAGGATTCTTCATATCAGGAACAAGCTTGTTTCCTCAGTGC